TAAATAAATAAATAAATAATTAAAAAAAATTCTAGACAAATTTTTTCTTTCTTTTTGTGGTACCGGAAATTGAACTCAGGACCTTCACTTGCCAGGCAAGCGCTTATTCTACTGAGCTATCTCCCTGGGGCCCTCCAGACAATTATTCACTCGTTTAAAACATATTTACTGGGCGCCTATGGCACTTTTTAGCTACAGGGAAGATTCACCAACAAGTAAAACCCAGTTTCTGACTCCCTGGAGGTTACAGTCTAGAATGTATACTGATCTCTGGCTGTAAGGTGGACAAAGACACAGCTGTCCTGTCTCATATGGAAGCAGAAGAAGAAGGAAGATTCTCGGATAGCATGGTGCTGACGCGAAAATGGGAAGAAAGGAATAAGCACAGCAGCCATCTAGGGAAAAGCACAAGAGGAACAAGACTGAGGCAGCAGAAGCTTTAGCATGTTGAGACAAGTGAAGGAAAGTAACACAAGGGGCTTACAAGGAGGATGGCAAAGAACTGCGACATTCAAACTAGTGAGCTCTGAATAATACATTACATAAAGTGAAAGCAAGCTATTAACAGATATTCTGAGAAAACAGACGTATACCAGGGGTATCCCAAGGCAAGTTGGGCTACATCATCATCTTACCTAAAAGCTATGGAAAGGACTTTGACTTCTCCCATGAATGAAGTGAAAAACCCTTAGACAGTTTAAACATAGGACATACAAAATCTATTTCTTCTTTTTCTTTCTTTTTTTTTGCGGAACCGGGGATTGAACTCAGGCCCTTGCGCTTGCCAGGCAAGTGCTTATTCCACTGAGCCATCTCCTCGGCCCCTCTATTTCATTTTTCAAAGCTCTCCTTTTGGCTAACGTGTGGTGGAGAAGAGCAGTAGACAAGGTTAGAAGTGATACAGTGAGAGGTAGACTAGACTAGAAGAAGTTACATTTTAGGCTGAAATATCCAAATACATTTTATGTAAAATTCACAATTTAATTAACTGGCACAACCGGTCCATTTAGTTTTCTAGTGTTCCCTACCCGACAGTAGTAGGGTTTGAACCTAGAGCCTTAGGAATAAGCTATATATCCCAGATCTTTTTTATTTTGAGACAGGATCTTGCTAAATTGTATATGTAGGGTTCAAATGTGCAATACTCTCCACTAAGCTGCTCAGAGTAAAGAGATAACAGCCAGCTTTGTTTTGGTTTTAAATACCAAATACTACTGAAGGGTTTTTTAAAGTACTAAGGGGAGACTAATGGAAACAAGGTTTCTCATAACAAAGGTTTATTTTGTTCTTTGTTTTGTTTTTAATTGAGACAGGGTCTCACTATGTAGCTCATGCTGGTCTGGATTTTGTAGCCCAGGATGGCCTCAAACTCACAGCGATCCTCCTACCTCAGCATCCCCAGTGCTGGGATTACAGGTGTGCACCCCTATGCCTGCCCCAAAGGTTCTTAATTTTTAGGGAAAAGTTCTTGGAAAATAGTACTCAGCAGAGGTTTACAAAAGAAACAGAGAGAAAAAAAGATCTAATATGAATAATAGGCGCAGTAGGACTTGGAAGGGAATGAGAAATAGCACTCTAGGCAAGAATGGATTTCTGAAACAAGTCCCAAAGAAAGGAAGAGAATGGCAAGTGAAAAAATGAAATAAAGGGAAACACTTTTCATCCTTTCTTAGAAAAAATTTCTCATTAACTAGGAAAACTACAAATAAAGGTTTCAAAAAGCCTCAAAATATTAACACTGAAAGCCAAAAGAAAGAATGTACTCTTTTCCTCTTCCTCTATAAGTCTAAAAACACCCTTGTGGAAGACTTCTGTGATCACAATACAAAGGGATAAGTAATAAATTTACAAAGACAGAACTAGGACATACATTCAACATTTTAGTATCCATTAACCTGCTGTGGAAAGCTTTTTGAAAATTTAACTAGTTAACCTACTTACATTTTCAAAAGGTACAACCTCTAAGACTTGTTTCTTAAATCCTGTTACATACTAACCTTCTAAAAAAGATTTTCAATAAATATTTGGGGATATTTAAGTAAAAGCTTTCCCCTATAATTCCAGGATAGTATGCATAATATTACTCTGATAAAAACTAAGGTGCAATTCATGAGTGACTTCTGACCATCTTCTCCTCAAATGACAATACTCATACCAAAAAAGAAATTTTATTCTCTAGAGCTGGGGAGATGGCTGGCTCAGTGGAATAAGCGCTTCCCTGGCAAGCGGAAAGCCCTGAGTTCAATCCCCAGTTCCACCAAAAGAAAAAAAAAAAAAAAAAAAAAGTGCGAAAAATTTTATTCTCATAATTTTTTAAAAGATATCCAATCTATGGAAACTGCCTTTGAAAACTACAACTTGACTTCTTATACCTATCTTGCATAATAATACCTACCTTTTAGGATTCTTGCTATGTGATCGGGACCTAAAAAAAGAATATCTATTTTTAGAAAAGTGACTATAACATAACAATGAAATGTGTTGTTAAATTACATTCTTTCTGACTTCAAATTTTTATGTGAACTTTAAAAATGTAAGGCACTATGCATACAAATTTTTTCCAAAATGTACTACATACTCTACAGACTTCTACCTTGCCATTTGGACTTCCTTCATTGAATACCTAGCTCTTAAAAAAGAAAACGCTCCTGGACAACCAAAACAACTCCTTAATTCTCCACGAACCACTTCCTGGTCTACAAAAAATTGTTATTTATGGCACTATTATTTTTTTTCTTTTTTGGGGAACAAAATAAAATATGTATAATCTAAAATGCAGACATTCTGGAGCCATAACCTCCATGTTCTATAATCCCTAGAACATCCAACTCAAACTTCCATATAACTAGAGAGATAGATAGTGCACTCCTCACACTTCCCAGCACACTATTAGCACTAACAGTTAATGACATGGCCATGACAATGCAGCAAGACTATTGCTAGAAAACCTGTAGCACGGATAAACGGGGTTAGCCAGACATGGGTTTTCCCTTGGTCCCTTCCTCTTCATCTCTGTCAACAGCTAAGTTCTCCTATCTTCTCTCAGCTTAGGTTATCACTGGCAGAGATGGAACAGTATTACAAATTCCACAAGATGGGATATAAGGTTAAGAGAAATGAGGCAAATTTCTTAGTATACTGCCTAGCATACATAGTTAAGCACTCAGTGATGGGGACTTTTTTTGGTTGTCTTTTTTAGTTACAATCGTTGAATTATATAGTTGTATAACTTTATATTACCTTACAGTTTCATCTACCGTGTTTCTAAAGGTTCATGGGTATATTGGGAAGTTGTATTGAGGACAGAATCCAAAAGTGCTCTTACACTGAGCTAAATCCCCATTTCCCCACCCCTGCTTTTTTGGGGATGGAGTCTTGCTAGGTAGTACAAGTTGTCCTTGAACTCGTGATTCACTGTATTACAAGTGTGTCCCACTATGCCTAAGCCCAGAGTTTCCAGTTTTTTTGTTTTTTTTTTTGGCGGAATCGGGGATTGAACTCAGGCCTTTATGCTTGCCAGGGAAGCACTTATTCCACTGAGCCATCTCCCCACCCCCCGAGAGAAACTTAGTATACACTAAAGATCAAGGAGATAAACCTCTAAGGTAGAATTTATGGTGAATGGGGATGGGGAGGAAGACTTCATGTACATGTGGACACACACCTCAAGAGACAGAAGTGGAGGACTGAGAGTAACTGTGTCCCATTTTGTCCTTCCAGTGCAGAAAGATTACCACTAAAAGCCATGCAACAAAATAAAGTTTAAGCTTCTCTAGGTATATGCTGAAAGCTCAGAAGTTAGCATCAACTATTCACATACTACAAAGGTTTTCATTAACTCAAGTACATATGCTAGTACTGGAAGAAGATACTAAAATTTCAGAGATGGGAACTACAATTCAGGGAACACTAGAACAAGTAAATCCTTTGTGGCGCATCTGTCCATCTTCGAGTACTTAAAGAAGATTTCGCTCATGAGTTATAAAAACTGTTGTCACAGTGGTACTATGCAATTTTAGTTTCCAACATATAAAACTCCAAAGACTGCTTAAACATTCTAAATATGAAGAATTATAAGTTTTTATTAATAAGCAGACTTATATACTAAATTAGTGGAATATTTATAGTTTATCATTCCTTAGAATTGAGAAAATAAAACTAAACAGAAAATGATGAAACAAAACAAAACCACCTCAAATCTTTTATAAACTAGTATGCAAATACCATGCACTAACCAAATGTGACACTGGAGCTCTACATCAAGAAATATTAAAAAACAAACAAAAAAAGCATATACTGTTCTGTAGTTCTAAGCCAACCTAATACAAATCTACCCAGTCACCTTCAAGCTAACAGTTCATACAGGTTGAACGATCCTATTCTGAAATCAGAAATGCAAAATCCAAAACTTTTTGGGCTGTTTGGAAACAGGGTCTTGCTACATAGTTCAGGCTGGCCTTGAGCTTGCAATGATCCTCCTGCTGAGATAACAGATATGTGCCACTTTTCTGGCTGGGCTTTTTGAAAAAGAGAAATTGGACTAGGGAGATAGCTCAGCAGTCTAAGCACCTGCCTGGCGAGTGCAAGGACCTGAGTTCAATTCCTGGTACCACATGCCATGCTGTTCTCAAAATCCTGAGCATAATGTGTCAGCCCTGAAACTGGGCATGGTGGCACATGCCTGCAATCTTAGCACTGGAGAGGCCGAGACAGGAGGATGACTATGAGCCTGAGCTGCACAGTGAGACCCTGTAATAAATAAATAAAAGATTAAAAAAAAAAAAAAAGACAGAGAAATTTAACCATATTAGTGCAAATATTCGAAAATTCAAAAACCTGAAATGCTTTGTGGTCCCAAGCATCCTGAATAAAAGGTACTCAGTCTGTGAATTTATATAAAATTTATCTTGCATGGTAATTATTTTTTAAAAAGTAAACAGAAATTTCCAACATCCACAGCAGGCTTTAGTAGAATTTAGAACTTATCAATCTCATTTTCTTTTAGAACAAGGGAGATTTATTGTACTATTTATTGTTTCATACCTCCTCAGCTTCTCCCTTTCTTCTCTCTCCCTTTCTTCTCTTCGTTTCAGGCGTTCCTGGTTTCTCTTTTCCTGCTTCTCAGCTACAACTCTCTTAAAAATAATAAATGAGGTGCATTCTTAGTCAATTCTTAATTATCTTTACTGTAATCTTTTCCACACCTAAATTCCAACAGTACAAATATCAAAATCTGTTAAATAACAACTCAATTTGAGGCTATACCAGATATAATGCTAGAACTACAAGTCTGTTTCCTACACTTTTCTCCTTTTGTATAAAATATGCAAAATTTCACACTTCTCTATGATTTCTTAGTGACATCTTTTTTTTTCCCATAATTTTATTGATAAATAGCAATGAGACAGTTTCAAATCAAATTGGTAGGACAGTTTCAATAATTAACACATTGCATACATTCCTCATAGTGGTTAATTGGTGTACAAGATGTGGACAAGATATCCTATCTACAAACACATTAGAACAAATCACTATTCATTAAGAGAATGTAACTATATATCTATCCTAACCACTTTGAATACACAGATACAAAATGGACATTCATCTGTATCCTTTTTTTGTGAAGTTCCATTGTCTGAATATTATAGGTGTGTTAACTCAGCAAAATAATCTAAAAGAGTTCAGTAGTCCATACTAGTATTGGGTCTTCCGCTTGACTGGCAATGTCAGAAATTGTTGACCTGAGTCCCCTACAGCTCAACATAACAGCATGGCTTTACTTCTTATATTTTGTTTTTATACTTTTCGGCTGGGGGTCTTACTGACATCTTAAAATTGTGTTTATAAGCTTTTTCTCCTGTAAATGTTTTTCAGAATTAAGATCCCATTCCCTACGGTTTCTGATATGGAAATGTCTCTTCTCTTCCAGTCATCATTCTGATGCTGCTGTTTTAAAGACATATGAGTGAAATGCTGAAGAGTTCTTTTTGTTGTTGCTGTGGGTGGCTAGAGTTCTGTGGCTAGATCTGTAGCCATTCAGACTCCCAGGTAGGTACTATTCCTGAGTTTTAATTTAGAGCCCAATAAACATTTATTATAATGAAACATGTTGACTTTGTTTATAGAAACTCACTTGAGATCATGCTAGCTGACCAAAACACTGAGAAGGGCTCACTGATAACTATAATACGGAGATATCCATAGGTGTTTCTGATTCTACATTGTTTAAAATACAAGCAATGTATGTTGGGTTAATGTCAATGATAAAATTTCATAGACAGTGACTCAGTGTTGCCAATGCTCCAGATAGTCCTCCATCTACAACAAAATGCTACCGTATCACAATTCTTAAAAAGCTGCCACGGGGCCGGGGAGATGGCTCAGTATGATAAGTGCTTGACTGGCAAACGCAAGGATCTGAGTTCAATCCCCGGTTCTGCCCAAAAAAAAAAAAAAACAAAAAACAAAAAACTGCCACATCACTCTGCCTTACCTTTACCATTTCAAAATATCACACACTTGTGTGTATATACTTGCTTACTACCTCAAAAGAATGGTGCTGTATGTGTGTGTGAGAGACAGACAGAGAGACAGAGACAGAGAGACAGAGCAGAGACAGAGACAGAGACAGACACAAAGACGGAGACAGAATTGAACCCAGGGCCTTTGTGCTGAACCACATCCCCAGGCCTTTTAATTTGAGATAGGGTATTGTTACGTCTCTAAATTGTTCAGACTAATAAAGAAAGAGATGGCACCGACTTGTCTTAAATCTGCAATCCTCTTGTTTTAGTCTCTTAAGAGTGCTGGGAGGGAGGGGCTGAGGAGATGGCTCACTAGAATAAGCGCTTCCCTAGTAAGCGCAAGGGCCTGAGTTCAATCCCTGGTTCCACCAAAAAAAAAAAGAGTGCTGGGATTATAGGCAACATGCATGTAGAGTTTAGCCTTCATATTTAGTCAATAGTGAGTTGTCTTTTTTTTTTTTGTCTTTTGTTTTTTAACAGTGAACATCCTTTTACTGAGCTCATCCTACATTCTTTCTGAACTAGGGAAGGACCTTAAAACTAGAGGCACTATAAGCCTGCTAGTTA